CGTCCTGAGCCTTAAGTTCTATTCAAGTGTCACGGGGGAGACTTAGCGGTAGTTGTTTTTCCTCGTCAAGGGCGGAAAGCGTGGGGGTGTCCGCGCGTACATGATGTGACAAGGTCAGGTAATGTAACGTCGCGGAAAATATTCAAGAGTTTCGCTGAATTAAGGGAAGCGAAAATAATCGAAGCATGTTGAGCATACCGAAAGTGTCCGTAGGATCATGGAAAATAAATCAATTACATGTTGTTGTTGTTTTCTTTTTACAACGTTGGTTAAATCCAGAGTTCGTGTAAGTTGATGTTCATTCAATTTGTACCAGAACTACTTCGATTTTGCAATCGTTTAGTGCGAAGTGTGCGCATTTGGAGTTTTTCTTTGTAGACGTGTTTCGTACCAGTTGGCCTGGTATGAAAATAAACCAGTTACTCTGCCGTGACCTGTGGCGTCCGCGTTGCGATTGTATTGGGTCGCGGGTCTCGCGGACGTGGCGCTGTTTATTTCGTCTGGCTTTCGGCTCCACTCTCGACTTTGTTGCTCGTCAAACAGGCGCACTTCATCGACTGTCTCTACTGCGTAGCAAGGATAAATAAATATATTTTTACTAAAAGAAAGTAAAAAGAAAACCCAGACGGGAAGAAGCGGCCGGCCCTTTCTACAAGGGGTGCTCCTTCAGAGCGCCTATTTTCGTTGCAAAGCGACTGGCGTGACTTTAGGGCTTTTTTTTTTCCGGGGAGAGGGAGGAAGCGGGTGGGGAGGAGAGGGGAGGGACTGTGAGGGGCAGGGACGAGCAAAGAAGCATAGCCACGTGGGCACACTACGTCGTGGCGGCCTGCTCCTTCAAAAGCCGTACTCCTCTGTAGACAGCAAACGGTCAATACAAGACCATTTTTATTGTTTTTCTTTCGGGAAACAATTTGTGTGAAAAATGAAGCGAAAGAAGCGATGACATTCTTTATTTTACATCAAGGACACACTCCAGAAAAACCAGAGGAAAAATATGTTTGCTGCTTGGCAACTCGTGAACCCGCTCGTTTTCAAGAAAATCCACAATTAACTGTAGTAATATTCCTCAACTATGATTGGCGACTGAGCTTGATTGGTGCATATAATTCCAGATAACATAAACATATTTTAAAATTGACTGTATTAGCGAGAAACGACAGAACTGAAATCGGCTCAATGTACACTTGTCTTTCAAGTGTGGTTACAGTTGCGAAGGGAACCGCGTCTTCAGAGCTCAGACCCATCGTGGGGTTTGATAGAGAAAGTGGGACGCGGCAAAGAGAAAATTTTAACCGGCCTTGAACTGCTTAAATATAGAGCTAATTTGATTCCTTCAGAAGAGGTTTTTATATCCGATATTTTAATTAGACGTTCTAGACTTGAATTCGAAATATGTGCTGTTTTATATTATTCTATTTCACAAAGTTAGGCATTGTTAAATTGTTTAAACGAACCGACGGCTTTTATTTCTCATTAGCAGCCGCAAGGCAGTGCTTTGAACTTTTTCGGAGAAAGGCCGCTCGCGTTCTTTTCTTTCAAGCGTCTTCTTTCATCCGCCTGTGTGGAGATTTCTTCAATGCGAAGTGTATAGCCATATTTATTAGCGAACATGCGGCTGTAACGTAGTAACAGAACATCAAACCGATTCAATGGACTAGGAATCGATCCCTCTTTAATTTTCCCCGAGGGAGTAAGTTCCCAGACGTCCATCTTGGTTACGGCACAACAAATTGAATTGGGTGTTGTCCTTTCAATAATGTGCATGCAGCCTCCGATTACAGCCACTTCAAGACTTATATTACATATAAACCGAAGATCTCGTTCAGACACTTGAAGTAGTTTATTTCTTTAATGTCATATGTAACGTAAGACGAAAAAACAAAATATCAAGATGTTGGCTGCCGTAGATGCTTGACCGGTTTATGCGTTTTTCATGAGATAGGCAAATAAGCGCAAGTTTTAATAATGCAATAATTTTCGCCTTCAGTAGCATTGCAAGTAAATTACGAACAAAAAGTCGGCTTCTTTTACCAGTATTTTGACAAAGCGGGTAAAGAAAAAGGCTTTGTGTGGCTGACACCGAGGTTTTATGGTCGGGCTAGCTGCGATTTACGACTGCTTGAATGCGAGTGGCTCTGAAAAATGTCGGGTTTTAAACGCTCGGGGCCCTGCAAAAACAAGACATCTCCAGCTTCTTGTGTGTAAATATTGCTTTTATTATAAAATTTAAAGAATAAATAAAATAGAAAGAGGGATGCAAGACGCATTGTTAGTCACCCATGGGCAGTCTGGTTCGTCGTCATCTTGACCGTTCTTTAGAAAAGTACAGGAAACAGATTATCACCAAGAGTCTCAGTGCTTACTTGTGATTCCTTTTGTAGGAGGTAACGCAAATAGTCAACTTAAAAGTGCAACAGAAAAAAAAGCGGACAATATTTTGTTTTATTACTTAACTTTTAAAGAAGCTTTTGACGCGTTTTCGGACGGAATGGCAGCGCTGTTCATCATACATTATGCACTTTAGTTAGAACTACACTACGTGTCCCAGGAGGGTGACGAACGGAAACAACCGACCATGACAGACCTTAAGCATGTCAATCATCCATACAAAGGAACCGTTGGCAGGCTTTCTCTCTTCCGGTGATTTTAAAGTAAACACGAGCAATAGACCGATCTCACTGAGCGCTCGGTGCATGCGTGACGCCGCCATAACTTTAGTTCACTAGAGGCAGATGGCAGTGCACGAGAGGGCTCGTCCCGTCTCGTGGTCTACACGCGCAGACCTCCAGCGAGCTTGTTGGACGTGCGCAGACTAGAGTTTCCTCGATGCATTGCGGCAGCGGTGGCGTAGTGAAACTGACTGCTGAGATCGGTCTATTACAAGCTGTCATGGAAAACACACCTTCGCTTGCGCGGTGCACGTGTTTTTACGTTGGCCAGTGCCGTTTTTTTTTTCTTGGTCACTATAGTAGGACTGGGACATAAAGTAACACTGCAAAATATTTGGACACAAGGTGAATCTGTAGTTGTGTTTTCGAAACCACTCGGGAGGTCGGATGACATTCTGGACACTCGTTAAGGCTGCAAAAAGTGCCATTAGAACCCCTTAAGCGGCTTCGTTCAACCGAATCGCGCAGAGAACAGCGAAGCACGTCACCAGATGGAGATCGCTCTTCTCGTGAACTCGTCGCGGCTTATCCCGAAATTTAAACGTAAAATAAATCAGTAAATAACGACGCAAACCCAAGGGCCGAAACCAAAGCCGACCCGACTGGCAGACCGCGAGACCCGCGGCAAAGCACACTTCGCGGGGGAAAGGACAAACGAAACGCTGTGGCGCGCAGCGTCGGCGAACTGGGTAAGACCCTTTCCCAGGGAGGGGTGTCCCCGTCTCCCGTTCCACAGTGACGGCACCACATGTCTTGTCATTCAGAGCTCGCGCCGTCACGTGTGGCGCCCAGCTGTTGCCGCTGATGGCGGCGAAGAGGGGGAGGCCGGGCAAACTCTCAGGCCGACTACTGCGGACCCAAGCTGCTTTGGAAGATCCTCTCTGGAGACAAAGAAAGCGCCTAAAGTTAGCCCCCCCCCCCCCCCCTTCCTATGCTGTGTGCATTTATTGACGAAGAAGGACAGGGAACGTCCGATTCTCCGAGATTGGGGTGCTTTCCTTAATTCTGTCTCGCAAAACTAGGCAGCAGCCATGGCGGCTTGATCATCCTGACGCGCAAACGCCTGCTCACGAACATAGTCATGTGCGGACACGCGACTACGTGTACGTACATACCTTAAATGTACATGCCCTACACAAACACGCATTCGCAAGCACGCATGCACGCTCATCTGCACGAGGTGACAGACGCGTCTCCATGCGCACGTGCGCGCGTGCAAATACCCAAAACTAACGCGCTCGGTCGGGCAAAGACAACCGACGTGCTTCTCTGTTTTCATCTCTGGGACCTGAGTACTCAAGGAGCGATTGCTCTTTGCTAATTATGGACTGTTCCTCTCGTAGGTTTGGATAAGCCGGCCAATCCCTCGTTCTGGCGTTCTATTTCGGTTTCTGAAAGAGCGTGTGTGTTTTCCAATGTGCGTCCGAGTTTGACTATGGCGTGCCAAGGGCGGAATTATCCTGGGTGAGGACAGGGAGATGGGGGGGGGGGGGGGGGGGGATGAGAGCGGAAATGGCGGTGGCTTTTGTTCCGAAGTTCCCCCACTGAGAAACGTTTTGTGAGGCTCGCGCTTGGAAGAATCCTGGCGCGCCATTGTGAGCGCGCGTGGAGTAACGCCGCATTCCTGAGTCGGTCCGCTCTTTGACTGTCTGTGCGTGCGTGAGCCCAAGATTCTGTTTGTGGATCAGATGGCGGAGGTACTCGGAATGCCGATGTCTTTACGCGACGGCGACGTATAGAATCGACCCCGCTGTGTTTTTCTTTTCACTTATTTCTTTTGAGTGAAGGCAAAACAGTGAACGGAACAAAATCTTAGTCCTAATTTGTGGAGTGGGGCGCCTCAAAGAGAACAATAGACGCGATGGAAATCTGTCTGCAGCACGAAGTGCGGCTCTGTCTCTCGCGGTTCGTAACTTCGTTGTGAATTTCCAAAACGTTGTTGTTGTTCTTTTTTTGTTTTTTTATTTACTTTTTGGTCGTTGCCGCCGTATGTACGCCGGCAAGATATATAAGAGCGGGAACATACGTTTGCTCGTATAGCTTTTCAATTTGCAACGCTACCACGGGTGGCGGTACTATCGGTCGTACCTTTGAAATTCGGACCTTCTGTCAACTTCATCTTGGGAAATACGCAATCTTCAAGAAGGAAGAGAAAGAAAATACAACAAAATAAAAAATGTTAGACAGTCGAATATGTTTACCATGTAAAACAAGAAGTATGTTCTGTCCCTCTTTAAGACGCTTTGAAACTGGAAACATACTTTACTATTCACGAAATATCTATACCTGGATTTTGATGATAATTCACTTGGTTTCGTCCTTCCCGCGCAGGAGCCTTGTCCCAGCCCACACCCTTTTATGAGTCCGTGCCCTGCTGAGTCCTCGGAGTGCTTGGTGAGTTCCTTTTAACCCTTGTAGTGTTGAATGTACTATCGAGCAGGAATGAAACGGGAGCAGCGGAGCGCGTAACCTATGATACATGCCGCGCTACCTATAGTCTATAGACCATTCCATTAAGCGCTCTCTGGGCGGCACCATTTTGTTCGACCGCAGCGCCCTCTCCACACATTCAAGAAGTTCAGCGGGTTCGGCGGGGTAAAACGAGAGAGAGGGCATGCACCCGACTCCGCTAGCAGACAACAAACCGGGAGGTTGCCGTTCTCCATCTTTGGACTGTATCGGCGGGCTCTACCGAACATCGAACTCTCGCTCGTGGCTGCCGTTGTGAAGTGGTTCGCGTTTTTAGAATAGTTGTGGCTACTCTAAAATCAGCCTATAGCTCTCTGTTGTTCTATTTTGCTAAATGATCAACTAGCATATCTTTTTTCCGTTCCTTAAATAGCAGTTGTGTCAGCCGGCAGTACTACCCTCAACTACTGCTTGTATTGCGGCAGGAGAGCACGTTTTATTTATTATTTCAGACTTCCACTCATGGTCGCTAAAGGCCTACACCAGTACGAACTTTTGTATAGTAAAAAAGGTACAGCAACCGGATTTATTTTTCGCCAAAGAAACCGGCCAATCTGACACAGTTTTCCCTATTTTTGTTTTTTATTTGCACGCAGGTAACAGCGCAATTGGACCTTGTGAGTCTTTTTACCTAGCATAGTATTACACGACAACTGCCATACCAAAATCTGCGCATCTTCGGTTGAAAGTTCCAAAATAACGCGATTTTAAACAGAGTTTGCACGCCAGCCCGACGCTAGCTACAGCCCACTAGGCGAAGCGGACGACATGCGGTGTGAGAGGGGGAGTGCATTTTTTTTCTCTTTTACCCTCTCTGCTATGACCCTAATGGAACGGTCTATAGGGGCAACTAGGAACCGATGAAACTGCGTTGTGGAAACAGTGCTGCGAAGGTTTCGTCCCTACTCTAATTTGGATACCCCCGTAGCCTCTCTCTCCACCCCTCAGTTTTAGCAGTTTCTTGTTGCCTCTTGATTACGCGCTCCGCTGTTCCGCATTTCATTCGTACCCGACAGTACATCCCCGAAACCGTTTATCGCTGCTGCGAGCGATCTAAATAGACAGCTCTGTCGAATATTTGTAGCCTATCTAGGCAGTAACAAAGTGCTCCAGAGCACCAATTCTTCTACACGAGCTGGAATACGTAGCACCGGTGTGGCGAGGGGCCCTTTGTTAGCCGAGTCGATTATCGCCTGATAACGTAAAACGTCCTTCTCTGATCCCATATTCTTTTTTTCGGCGTTAACCAACGAGGTAGAGGGGCTTAGAGCTTTAAACTGGTGTCCCGTTCACCAGGCAAAAGTGACCGCCACTTGGCTGCCGCCATGTTGTACAATTTTGACCACTAGACAGGTGACCGTGTCGAATGCTGAGCCTTTTACGCAGAATTGAGGCGATATTTCTATTGCGATCGCTGTAGAAAACACGATGAACTATTTACTTAATACTTTTAACCCCAGAGATCAGTGTCTAGCTCCGATAAAAACCCCAAATACAGCACCGCGGTTGACGGCATCTAGGGGAGCCATTGCGATGCTGTCCGAGTTTTTGTCGTAAAAGCATAGTACGGACTTAAAACAAACAAAATATAACTTATCTTGTCGGCCCTGTTAGTAAAGATAAATAAGAAATTATGTGTACGCGGTACTTTGTTGAAATCTAGACGTGAAGTATGAGGTCACGCGTCTAGTGGTAAAAATTTTGCAACATGGCTGCGACCGATTGGGGGTCACTTTCAGCTGCCAGTTTACCGCTCCAATGCCCACTACGTCCTTGTTGTGAACATTGTTTCGGCACGTCCTGCATCAAGCTTCCTCCTTATATCCTATACTTTGTCTCACCCTACGATGGACTAAAGGCCAAAACCACGGGCCGCCAGGTCCAATCACGTTCTACGCTAAGCTATGACATGCCTAGCTTTGATTAGTGGTGGACGAATAATGCTCCGAATCCGAAAGCGCTGCATCATTTCTATAGCTTCGACGCTGCAAACAGCCCGTACGTCCCGGCTTTTTTGCAATGTAAAATTGCTGAGTCACTCACTGCTGTTCGATTCGAACCACTGTCCGCCATCCCCATCAGTGATCCCTGACGCGAACCGTGCATTAAAGCGTAACACCACGCAATTTCTAAGTGGCTCGTGATTGGATCTGGCGGTCCGTAGCTTTCGCCCCCAGTCCATCGTAGGGTAAGACGAAGTATAGTGGATGGCACTTGGATCATGCATGCACGGATGGTTTTCGTGGTTTAAAAACCCATCGGGCTTTCTACATCACTTCACCTGTAGGTCAGAGCACAGTCAAAGGCTATACGGCACTGAGGTTCGTCTGCTCTTTGCGCTCGTCCTAGGTTTGGGTTACCCTTCAAATATGCCCACTAGTGCTTTTGTTTTCCCCCGAATCCTCAGTCAAAGACGGCCCGGGCTCGACCGACACGCCATCGTGCAATCTCTACGCGTTCTACGTGGTTCCCTTTGAATGGTGTGCCCCGCTCGTTACGTTACCATGCGGCAAAGACGCATTTTGGAACACTTGCTCGCCGTACAGTCGCCGTCAGCTAAAGAAGCGGAGGGCGTTGTGAGTCCCGAGCCCTTTTCTATCGCTGCGCCGCCAATCAGATTGCGACATTAACCGGTAAGAGCGCCGAAGAGCACAATCACGAGGCGGCGGATACTTTAGGCCACGCCCCGCGTTTTTTAAGGTGTCAGATACTATAAACGACGAACAGACAGAAATTGCAAGTCACCAGGTAATCGCTGCGCTCCGTCGGTTTAGCCGGTCAAAACACACGCGTAAAAAGGCGTCGAGCGCCATAACGTTGAGCTTTCCGCTCCGTAAGCTTGGTCCCTTCGGCTCGCTGTTTCGGCTGGTTTCGTTTTCGAGGTTCGGGGTGAAAACGAAGTGTTTGCGGTGAGATGCTGGCTAGGGACGCTTCTGTATTCCTCACTCTATAGTGCCATAGCCTCATCTGTACTCACAAAGATTGGCAGTCCGACGGCGAAGCTATAGTGTGCCCGGTCGCAGATTTGGAGCGCGAGAATCTGGTACCACAGAGTATCAAAGAGCCGTTTCTCGTGGAACCTGGACGTCAGTCTACAGCTTTTGCAGTGGCGACGACCCGAAACACACTTGTTCGCTCGGTAGAAGTGTGTTTCGGCGTCTCGCTGCAGCGCGGCGCCTGTCACGTGGCTCTCCTCTCATCCGTTGTCTGCCGCAGCACCTTTTCATTTCGGCGGCCGCTTCTCGTGGCGATCTGCCAGGCTTTGTCAGTATATAGGAGGCTATGGCAGTGCACGCACTACTCACGCGGTTAGGGTTTTGTTTTCATAGCGCATAGAAGCTTGGTATTGCACGTGCTTGCACCAGCAGAAGAAGTTGGATGTATCCTCACTCTGAGCGTTGAGAAAAATTCCACCGGGTGGCGCACCCCAAAGAAGTTCTCACCGGAAATAGCTATAGATTTTGTTTGCCCTGAATTCCGAACGCAGCCGATGCTACGAGTTGATAGCATCGATCAAACCGTGTTAAAAGCTCGAGTCACCTTCTCTGTACATGAGTGGTTCAGCGATGATCGATCCACGTACAAACATGACGACACCTTGTTCGAGCGCTTTTGACGCTACATCACCGGCACCATCAGCTCGAATCGTCGCCGGCGTTAGGATATAAGGTCAAACGAAGTATAACATTTATAAGTCTATGTCGCACTGCTATTTGTGTACAGTTAGTGCCACCAAATAGGCTACGCTTCAGAGTAACGACACTTAAGGCCGGTTCAGATACTTGCGTTTGAGTGCGTTTGACTGCGTTGCGTCGAGAACCGAAAGCGAGTCACCGGCGCATCTGTGCCTCGTATGACGCGTGGAATCCAATTCAAGGAATCATCTTGGCACGCGATATAAACAGCAGGGATGTCCTGGTTTCTTGCAGCCGCAACGCAGTCAAATGCAGTCAAACGCAACTGTCTGAACCGGGCTTTACCCATCTTGTGGCTCAAAATAAGGGTTGCCAGCTATCTGTTTTTTTTTGTTTTTTTTTTTTTTGTAAATCACAGGAAACGCTTTTTTGTCACCCATGAATGTTTAAACGTTTCGCAAAAGAGCCAAGCAATATTGCATGATATTCCTAGCACCGAATCTAATGCTGAGGAAGTCGCACTTTTCGAATAATAACGATCGGCAGTTACGTCTGCTCTGCACAAGCACCAAGATGGCAGCGCCCACAACAATATCGGGAACAGAGTGCCGATACTCTAAGCGTAGCGCATTTAGTGGCTCTAGGTACTGTCATGACCGAATTTATCGACGTTTCGGTTCCATCGAAAAGGCAGCGGTTTAGCTTCGAGTGATAATGGCAGGGTTGTCTACTTAAGATTACGTTATAATGATCCCGATTTGATGTTTGGTTGAATCGCGCAGTTTCGGCTGAAAAAAGAAAACGAAAACGAATCGATTACGGTGCAGAAAACGCCGCCGTCGTTTGGCGAGACTTTTCCACGTCTTAAACACTCTCGCCTCGAGTTCCCCCGTTCGGGAGAACGAAGACGAATGCTCCACTTCGTGAGTGCGCGCCGTAAATTAATTTGCTTACAGGAGCACCGGGGACCGAAAATAAAAATAAACAGCGACAGCCGAAAGATTAAGTATCCCTGGGCAACTTTTCTATCGCAGAAGCGTGATCGCGTTTTGAGATACATGTCTATATAAATATATCTAAATGAGCTCGTATCATCTCTATATGTCTGAAGTTGTACGCGAAAACTGAACTGCCACGCAGGCCAGACTCTAATTTTACTTATTATTGGCGGTGATTAAATGTCTACGGGAAATTAACGTGACCAAAAAGAAGAGAGCGGCGCACATGGTGAGGGCGCATGAGAGACCATGCCCTAAACGAGAGGATGTCGTGACGGTCCAATGGCTATCA